CTTGGTGTGTGTGTGTGTGTGTGTGTGTGTGTGTGTGTGTGTGTGTGTGTGTTTGTGTATGCGTGTATGTGTGAGTGTGTGTACAAATTTGTTTGGGGAAGAAAAAGGAGGTACAGAATGGTACAAGCGAAATTTATGGAACGAGAATTGCTGAGATTGTTTAAAGATATTAGATCTAGATAACTCAACATACTAAAAAAAGAACAAAGGGTAAGAAAGAGAAAAAGTTGTTTCTTTTTTTTCGGTGGGGGGGGGGTGAGAAGGAAGAAAAAAACCCTGAAAATCAACAAGCAAAAACTAGGAAAATTATATTATAATAATTCAAGCGGTAGGATGTTCACCGATCGAACTCATGTGGTTTGCTGTCCTGTCGCTACGATGTTATGTTAGAGTCGTAGTTAGTCTAGCGGCACGTTGTCACTGGTCGACATCATATTACAGAATTACTAGACAAATAATGACTTGTGCTAGAGAGTAAATTTCTTTGTTCAACTTAAGAAGTGAACGTATTATGACAACACAGTCCTGCTTTACAATTTCTTTATAATGACTTAATGCTCGATCTTTTATAACAATGTCTTGGTGGATTCAAACAACAATTAAATTATCTACTTGTTTCCCAATCATCTGGGTCCAACTGGTGTGGTGTAATGATAGTCACATCCTCTCTCAAGAGAGCGTTTTCGATATAATGTTAGTCTTCTCAGATAGTTACATTTCTAACATGAGTCTGACTGCAATGATCTGACCAAATTGATATTTAATAATGGAACCATGTAGACGTGCTGGACGCTTGTACTATTAGGGAAAATAAAATAAAACTCGCTACCAAAGAGGATACATCAAAGAAATCTCATGGAGACCAAACCTAGATTCCGAATAAAACTGTATTAAGTCAGGCTGTTTGAACCATGTGCTTGAACAGAACTTATGATTTGGACACTGACGACAGTGACGTATATTTAATATTTTGGCCTGCTTCAAACGTTCTATCCCATGAGATGAAGGGAAGACGAAGCGCCCCTTACAAGTTACACTATCTCATAGCTCAGAGAAATTCGCCCCCGCAACCCTCAACTTGCGTGCGCAACTTTTGCCATTTTCGTGAGTTCGCGGATTTTAGCCAATTCTCCTCAAAAGTTGGGAAAATAATAATACATGTAGATGACATGTAAAATTTCTTTAATAACCGACACCAGACCTGCCACACGTCCCGATTTTACCCGTTTTCGATCACGTGTATCCTGATATTTTGTTCCAGTCTATTGTGCCGGTATTTTGAAAACTTACTGTCTTCTTCTCTATCGAGGGAAGCGGGAAGCGCCCGTTGATCCTTTTGTCAGGTGGAACTTCTAGCATTATATTCTGAAATATTGATGCCGGATTAAGCAGTTGACTCACCCCAAATTGTGTTTGATCTTTGCCCGCACTCTTTGGTTGTGATGTTATCAAAGATTTTCTACTACCAAGACGTTTCAATTGCCCTAACTCGTGTCCGAGCGAGACTTGAGCGCTACCTTTTCTTAGCACGTGAGGGTCCGTGATACCGTACGAGTGTAAACAAACGTTCCAGCCCTGAGTTAAAAACGAGCCATTTTGTCTGCGGACAGAGGGAGAAAAGAGAGATGGGGGTAGAGAAAGAAAGAGAGAGAGATCAAAGAGATAGATAGATAGATAGAGAGAGAGAGAGAGAGAGAGAG